CCGAGATGTTATCAATTTGAAGGGCCACATCAGATCGCCACTATTCGCTTGTACACCAGTAGTTGTTCCATCACGCCTCATACATAGTACATTGAATCACAGAACCTTTATATGTGCTATGCGCCGAGTCCTTCAAATCAAAGCGTGGTTGACTTCGAACGAGGAAGGATTAAAAAGTTTATCCAAAGAGAAATTTCCTGCTGATGAACACAGTACAGATTCTAGAAGCCCTACAGTATATACCGAATCATACAGTCGGTGTATATCCAGCGGACAAGATCCCATCGGCGTGGACGAAACCGACTGCAATAGTAGCGAACACACATGACCACACCCAACCGGGAGAACACTGGATCGCCATGTACGTTGATCGAAATGGTAGAGGATGGTACTTCGACAGCTTCGGACTACCTCCCATCGTGCCCCAGCACGCTGCAAGGCTCCGAAAGAACTGTAAACTCTTCAGGTGCAGCATCCGGCAGCTCCAGCATCATGACTCGAGTGTATGTGGACAATACTGTGTACTTTTTCTGCATTGTATGGCTATGTTTGCTACTCCTGAGAAGTTCTATTCGTTATTCACCGATCGATTCATATCTAATGATCGTCTAGTGCGTGAATATCATAATGCATTTATGAAGAAAAAACGTAATAGTGCCCCCGAAGGGAAGTTATTTAGTGGCCGCGGTTATAATTGTACGTCGTGGAATCAAAAATGTAAGTAATTTATAAGAAAAATATGTAATTCATGGGGACATTATTTTTGGGAAAATATACATGTAATTAATAACTGAAATTCTGTGTTTTTATTTCCCTGTATGATAGCTGCTATGACGCACCCACAGCATTCACAGTCACTCCCACCCCACCACTCGCCCGCGTCGGAGTCGTGCTACTCTGACCGGTGCAGTGGTGGGGTCGGAGTGACTGTGGGTGGGGGGCGCCATAGTAGTTCCCATACTACTTTCCTGTGAGTTACGGAGTGGGTACGACCATAAAAAGTGTGGTTATCCACACAAAGTCAATGAAAAAAGGTGTCAGTACGAGTGTTTCTTTAAAAAAAAATGTTCAGAAAATTCTCAGGACCAACCTACTTGGCGTCGTTTTTTATCTTAATGCGGATCCTTATTTGGGAGTCTATTGTTTGAGATTTGTGATCCACTTTGGAACTCAGAAATTGCTTTGAAGCATACTACACCATGTTAGGTGTTCAAATCTTTAGATAGTCATTTGTGTGATTATGTTGGATGGAATTGCCGGATAGTTTAAGTTAATGCCTCAAGCTTATTCTTTTCCATTTTCAAATATTCTTATTTCCATGAATAGAAATTGAATTAATTATGGTAGTGATCGCATGGAGAAGGTTCATTCGACCATGGTGTCAACATAAAACGCCAACTCTCCGCAATGAGTGTTTCAAAAAACTGCGCCAAGTACGTTGGTTCTGAGAATTTTCTGAACAATTTTTTTCAAAGAAACACTCGTATTAACACTCTTTTTCATTGACTTTGTGTGGATAACCACACTTTTTATGGTCGTATCCACTCCGTGACTCACAGGAATAGACAACATTGAGTTGACATTGATGAGTTGAAACTTATAAAATTTGCAACAGTACAACCCAACTGTAGAAAAAAACTGAAAGTGTTTCTAGATATTTTGAAAAGTTCTGTGGTTTTTCAAAATCACAAGTTCAACTTCATGAACTTGGCGTTCTTCCTTATTTCTGCACTTTTTTCAATTTCCCAGAAACGATTATCCATAAATAAGTACTCGGGCATTATTTTGATGAAGACCGTTTTTATAGAGAATTGCAAGGGCTATGAAAAAGGTCATTATAATAATTTTAATACCTTCTTTATAAAAAATGATAAATCGAATCCACTGGGTCCATTCGGAAACAAAAATGGAAAACGAGAATAAAACCACATTGCCCGGTGTAGGATGGTATTTTTAGTGACTAGGTATCATCATGACGAGTATTTTGAAAACAAAAACCGAATCCGTCGAATGGTTTATGAGATATCGGCAAAAATCGATTTTCAAGGAATCGCTATATCTCACAAACCGCCCAACCAATCGAGCTGAAATTTTGCACAGATTTGAGTCTCCGCATCCTTCCCTCAATCATTTGCGAGTTATGGGGACAGTTCTGGACATACGTACACACATGACTACACACAACCTACATATATACAGACATTCTTCAAAAACATTATTTGTTCACGTTTCATGACATTCCTAGTCATTTTTACACTCAAAATCAAGAATAGGAAACGAACACAGTTACAAAGCTTTCATTCGGAAGAAGAACAAAAAGATCTTATAGTTTTTGGAAACCAAAATTCACTACCGTTCCACTTTGCCCCGCGTTCCATTTTGCCCCACCCTCCTCTATTATATATACAGTGATGTGATGTCCTCAATTCTCATATTTAATGTCTAGACATGGTCCCCTCAAATTCAGTTAAATGGGGAAGCTGAGAAGTTGGGCTGAAATGGGGAATTGACGAGAATTTGGGATCTCGGCCTTTGACATTAAACGAACCAAAGAAATGGAAAACGTTCAATTGTGTATTATAAGTGCACGAGTAAATCTCGAATTACATGTAATTCACAGTACGCGTTCATAATCTAGACTCTACTTGCTCCTTCACACTGGGAAAGATCATTGTGTGAACACAGCAATCGTGAAACGGAAAAACAAATATTTGTACCCCATATCTTCCTTCAATGCAGTCATCCAGAGGGTATTTACCACTCGAATCAACAGCCATTCCTTCTCGTTAAACTATTCCAGAATCCGTTAAACGTTCTGATCACACCTAATGGTTGTCGATATATCTGACAAATACCGACAGAATTTTTTTTTCAATACATGGCCTCAATATTTTTTTAAATGGAATGTTGAGTGCAACCATTCCATCGATTCGCCAATCGATCCTCGAATGCTTTTAAAGGCGTTCGTGCTTCAAATACAAAACTGTCCTCTATGCACCACTTGCATTTTACTCGGCGTACGTCTGGATCTATGGGAAAACAAATGCCCACGACCGAGGGATATCGCATTGCGAAATTATCGCTATGTAATCTTGCCTTGTAGAGGCAGGTTGAGTTTCATCATAGAGTCGGTGCTTTTAGACAAAGTCTTGGAACAGAGGGGAAAGATGTAGAATCTTTATGAGATTATAATATCTCTGAAATTACTAGAAAGAAGTGGAATCGATTTCATTTTATTGAAACGTTTGAGGAATAGTATTAAATGATGCAGAATTTGAAGAAGTTTCTTGCCGAGAATTGAGAGTTACTGATAATTAATAATGATTGATTTCAACATTGCTGTTGAAAATTATCAGGAGTAATATTACAAGGGCTTAAAAATGATTAACAATTTACCGGATGGCTTGTTGTATGGCAATGCATTCATAGTCACCCGATAATGTTAACAAATTTTCGCTGAAGTTTCTGGTATATTTATTTAAAAAAATTTCACGCGTCAGTTCCGCTGAAATTTCATGTCATTTTCTCATTAAAATTCACAACTTGATAAAAAAAACAAAGGAACAAGTAACTTTCACTCCATTTATTCCCTGAGAAGTGATATAAATTAGAAAAATTCAATTGAATATGATAACTTTTCAATTAATGTAAAATTTTACTAAACTATCATTTTTTCACTGAAAAAGTTTTATTATTTAAAAATTCGTAATTCCGTTGAGTTTTCTCTAATTCTAAACTGCGCATGAAATATGAAATTTGTTCGAACAGGATACTAAACGCACTCGGGGTTTTAATACTACCCAACTGGAGTAAATTTCACAGGTATGAAAAATAAATCAATTGTATTCGTACGCCAAAATATAATTGAAATGGAAAAAAAACAATTCGAATGATGAACGGAAGAATTTCCTTGCCATTCACTTAATAATGTATTTTTGGTATTTTCAGGATAAAAAAAAGGAATACAGATGAAATATAATATACCAGTAATGAAAATTTTTCGGCGAGTTTTGTACCGTATTCAGTGGAATTGTGTTTATTGAATACTCGATAGGAACAGTCAGTATTTAGAATTTTTTTTAAATGCTGTATCTGTTGAGGATTCGCGTAAACAAACGTGAAAATTTAAAGGCTTAGTTTGAGGATGTAAGTAGTATTGGGGGCATCCTGACCGTCGTTCTAACTTTCGCCACTAGGTGGCGCTGGCGTCGCTGTTCGTTTGGCGGCGGGCGGTGGGTGGTGAGTGGGGGGAGGAGGTGGCACTAGTGTCGGGT